TGCAGGACTGCAATACAATGGTCCTATTCCCCAGACTGGCTCCTCCCTCAGCATGTCCCACCTCCTCAAAAGACTATCAACCCCCAATGAGTTATTCTTGCCTCTGCTGCTTCCTAATATTGATTAAATTCTATAGAGTTTACTTGCAGAGCACGTCTTGAATCTACGCACCCTTCTTCATATCCACCACCATGTCCTCCAACCTGTCTCAGCCACCATAGTCATCCAGGGGCCTTTGAACTCATCTCCCTGTATCCTCTCTTCCCCTTCACCCAGATGGCTATCCACCAGTGATTTTTGTGATATGCACATCCCATCGCATCATCCTTCTGCTTAAACTCTTCAGTACTTCCCATTATTCTCAGGAGAAAGTCAGCCAGTCCTCCTGTACCCACTAGACAAAGTCCCCACCTCTCTATCCAGCCTCATCTGGAGCCACACTTGTCCCATCTCACTCTGCTGTTGCAGAGCAGCCTCTCTCTTCCACGCAAGACCAGTCACACAGGCCTGAGAATTTTCCTTCGTCTTTAGGACTGAGTTAAAATGTCGCCATTTGAGGCAGGTCCTCCCTGACCAGCCCCCACCACTGGATCAGGTTCCTGCACCCTATATGTCTCTTTCATGGCACTTGTCACAATTGTAATTAAAGATTCACTTGTGTAATTATTTATATATTTGTCTCCAATTATACTGTAATTTTATAAAGGCAGAAACTGTTTAATTTCATTACTATAATCATAGACCCCTGCACAATATCTGGCATAGAGTAGACACTCAGAAAATATGGGTAAATATTGGCATGAAGAATACCAAGTACCTTCACATGCATATCCATGCAGCTTCCGACATTCATTTCAGGTGGATATCATATCCTTGTTTGATAGCTGATCAAACTGACTTCTTTTGAACTTACATGATTTACCCAAGGGGATAGTAAGTCTCAGGAGTTGAAGTCAGGACTCCAAAATCTAGTTGGTAGTATTTTCCTGAAAAATATATCCTTAAGGCATAAAAATCACTCATTATGGCCTAAATGGTCCCTTTGCTTCTATCTCTGTAGCCATTCTGTTTTTTTACTGTTTTTTTTTTTTTGCCATTTATTTCAGTTTTATTAAATTCACAAGCACCTCTTTAATCCTAAGCTTAAGTGACAGTGCACTGAGGGATAAACTGAGTAAGACCCAGTTCTTTACCATAAGGATCCCACAGTTTGTTATGAGAAATAACTACTTTAGCTCTCCAACCTTGAATTTGTTGAGACTGCTTCAGCTGCAAGTTACATAAACTCAATTAAAATTGACTTTAGCAAGAGAAGGAATATATTGATTCACATAAACTGCAAAGTCTAGATGTTGTTCAAGCTTCAGGCATGGTTGTATCCAGGGGCTCAGTGTCCTCCTGATGCTTTCACTGTCTCCATCTCTTGGGTCTTCTTTTCTCTGTTGATTTTTTTCTTGGCCAGGCTCCCTCCACATGGTGCAAAGATGGACTTGGGCGGCTCCAGGTTCACATGGTTCTTAGTGTCTACTTTCTCAGAAAGAGGGCCTCTTTCCCAGGAGTTGAAGGATGATGCCCATCAGCCCAGTTTGGGCCTAGAAGATGGAATATTCTGGGGACAACGTGCCCATTTAGAACTGGAGTAGGGTCAGCACCACCCAAACCACATGATTCCCAAGAGTAAAACATGACCACTAAAGTTCTCTAGAGGGAAACTGATAAACTGCTGTGGACAGAAAGGGGACGTCTGAGATTCACAACAGACTTCCTCTCTTGGCCTCAGGTCCTCACCCACTCCTTTCCTTATCCCTTCTTGCTCCAAGTTGTCCTGTTTTACAGGGTTTGCACTTGCTAATCCCTAAGCTAAGATACCTCCTCCTCCAGATCTTTGCACGGGTGGTTCTTTCTACGCTTCAGATCTCTGCTTTCATGGCACTTCCCAGGGAGGCCTTCTCAGACCCTGCATCTGAAGTGCATTCATTCATTCATTCATTCATTCATTCATGTCACCTCATTGATTTGCTGGAGGCTCAGTTGCTTATTACTTTGTTTACTTTGTGTTTTGCTCTCACCAGAATGTGAGCTCTGTGCAAGCAGAGATTTTCATCTATTTTATTCATCGTTGAATCCACAAGGTTCAGAACAGTGGCCGATAAATAAGTGCTCAATAAATACGGATTGAATAAATGAAAGGGGTCTATGATGGCATCTAGTGAGAGACCAAGGGAGCTTCCTGGAGGAGGTGGCCCTTAAAGAGAGTGGCCTTTTTTAACTCATTTTTTTAAACCTTTTTTAAACCCATTTCCCATTTGCGCCAAGAATACTCACTGGAAGCACTTGCGGCTACAGCGTTTACCCCGAGATAACTCGTGGATTACGCTTCTAACCTTACCCGTCAAGTTTGCCATGAAATATCTCACTTTTATTATTATTTTCATATCACTCTAGTATATCAATAGTCTGTGGAAACAAATCACCAAATGACATCATTCTATTTTAGTTGTGGTATTTCCATTTACAAAATACAATAATTCTCAATCGCTGAAAATGTCAAATCCTAGGAAACATACCATTCCTACACGTGATGTTAACATTATTCTCCAGCAGTTGTTAACCAAAGATCCATTTGATGAATCCTATTTATGTATATGTTCCTGTTATATTAGGGTCAGAGACAAGTCCTGTTTAGAAATAACTCTAAGAACAGTTTTTATATTTTATTTCACATTGAAAACCAGTCAGATTTGCTTCAGCCTCAAAAGAGTCTATTTATGTTAATTAAATTAATGTTGGCAACAAGCTGCACTTTTTTTTTCTAAACAGGAAATGGTTTAAAAATTGTAAATATATATAACAAAATTTATTATTTTAACCATTTTTAAGTATACAAGTTTAGTGACACTGAGGACATTTACAGTGTTGCATAATCATTACCAGTATCTTTTCCAGAACCTTTTCATCTTCCCAAACTGAAACTCTGTCCCCATTAAATGATTACTCCTCATTCCTCTCTCACTGTGGCCCCTGGCAACCATGGTTCTACTTTCCGTCTCTAGGAATTTGATGACTCTAGTACCTTATGCAAGTGAAATCATACAATATTTGTCCTTTATGGCTAGCTTATTTCACTTAGCTTAATGTTTTTCACAGTTCATCCATGTTGTAGCATGTATTAGAATTTCCTTCCTTTTTAAAGCTGAATAATATTCCATTGTATGTATATACCACATTTTTGTTTATCCATTCATCAGTAGATGGATATTTGGGTAGCTTCCACTTTTTGACGATTGTGAGTAATGCTGCTATGAACATGGGTGTATAAGTATCTGTACAATCCACTGCTTTCAATTCTTTGGGGTATATTCTCAGAATTAGAATTGCGGGATCATGTGGTAAATCTATGTTAACTTTTTGAGGAAACACCAAACGGTTTTCCACCGAACTACTATACCATTTTACATTTCTACCAGCAATGCTGGTTCCAATTTCAAGGGTTCTAATTATTCCAATTCCTTGCCAACAGTTGTTACTTTTCATTTTTGGATTGGAGCATCCTAATGAGTATGAAAGATGGTGGAATTTCGACAGATGGAAGAGAGGTGAGCGAGGCTTTTAGGCAACAGAGGCCTAGAGGGACTTTGGTATAAAGTGGATTCAGTCACACAGTTTGATGTCAAAATTCACATAGGTTCTGCTTGTCTCCTTCTCTTGGAAATAGATCGATTCTGTAGAGCATTGGAAAGCCCTGCATCCCAGGTACTTTCTGAAGCTGCGAGGGTTCGTGTCAGCTCAGGTGTCCTGGGACACCAGTGGCTCCATGTGAGAGGGGTGAGACAGGGACAGGGGATCTGACATGCGGGAGGTTGGTCAGTCATCACAATCACAATCACAAGGAGCTGTGACCAAAACAGACTGCATCATGCAGTTCAGGCTTCATCTCAAAGGCAGGTGTGGCAGAAGGACACAGCAGCGGTCCTCTCCATGAAGCAGGGGCATCTGGAGTGGAAAAGACAGGAGCATTATCTTGCCTTCGGCAGAAGAGGGGTAGGTGCCGTTTGCACTGCAGCTGGTTCCTAGCCGCAGAAGAGGTGCTATCTTGCACAAAAAGGACGAAACACAGAGGTCAGTTGAGGTCTGGCAACCACCCTCCTGGGCCACAGCCCACTGAATGGAGTGGGACTCAGGGCAGGGTTCCATGAGAATGAAATGGATTACCAATCAAGAACCTAGGGGTCCATGAACACAAGATAAGGTGTGTCCCCAGGGAGCTCCCCGGTGTCTGGGCAGTAAGGACTCTCTGCAGGACTTCAGGGCTGGAGGAGGGCAAGGCGCAGGGTTGTACCTACACACACTACTGTTCAACTGTGAACGCAGAGCCTCACAACTGTCTTCACGCTGGATACCCCTAATCTCCACCAGAAAACATGGTTCGTGCTCCTGAATTGGGGTGCCTCTAAGTCCTAGGCTTGAACCTTGCTTCCTCCAGGTAGTTCAGAGTCCCAGTTTGGTGGGACCTGTGTGCCGGAGTCAGCTCGTCTTGGCTCTGAGAGCCCATTCTGTGCACATCTTCAAAACTCTGCATCAGTGACATTATGTTGATAGCTCAAAATGGGCCATGGTGAGAGTATTTAAGCCACAAAAACTGGCAAATACTATAAACCAGGGTTTATTTGCCCCTTAAAGGTAATTGCTAAACATTAACCAGCACACAACTTGCCCTGATAGTAGATTCACCTCTGCTTAAGAGGCAAATCTGATATTCTCAACAGCTGCAAGTCTTTCTGGATCCTGCTCCAGCCCCTTTGTCCCAGGGCCCCTGTCCACCAGCCCATTTATCCCTGCTGCCACCACCAACCCCCGGATGACTGAATAATGTGCAAGGCGGGGTTAAGAGGACTGGAGAAATAGTGCTTGGTTGGCACAGCTCTGTGGACAGTGGCTGCTTTCTCTGCCTGTGACAAGAAGCAGGGCTAACCAACTTGTCCGTGCCTAAGTCATCTACGATGGCAGGTGTTGTGTACCCTAGACAGGTGAGTGTTATGGGGACGGCCAGGTCTTAGGCTCTTTGGGTCTCGCTCTGGTCATTATTCTTGAATGCTTTTCTTTTTAAACACAAGAAAGCTAAGGGTTTACAATTTTCTGGAGGTTCATTTATTTATTCAGCATGTATTTATTAGGCATCCTCAGTGTCAGACACTGCTGCAGAGATGCCTAAAATTAAGTTCTAATCTATTGTACTTCATTAAATCAATTACAGTACACCACAATAACTGCTGTAGTGAGAGTTATAAAATATGATATGAAAGCAGAGGAGAAAGAATTTAATTTCTGGGAGGTGGAGAATTAAAGGGTGGGAGAGATGTTTTGGGGGAGATTTAATCTGGGTGTTGAAGGATATATAGGAGTTCGCCAGCTGGTGAGGAGTGCAACTAGTGTTTCCGGCAGGGGATAAGAGCACATGCCAGGCACGGGTGAAGAGAGGCTGGAGTACAGAGGCCATGGAGGGGAGCCAAGGGGGGCTGGGAAAGGCCAGTGGAAGCCCGATCATGAAGGACTCTGAATGCCAGGCTTCTGAATGCCTTTAAGTGCAGGAACAACAGGATGGGACCTTTTGCTTTATATTCACTCTTGCCCTTTAGGCCCCTGTGGATTTAGACATGTACCAAAGCTCCTACATGGTCAACTATAAACCCTACGGGAAGCACAAATACTCCAGGGTCACACCACATGAGGTAAGAAGTCACTGTCTTGTCTTCCATTCAGCTGTCCACTGAAATCGTCTTTATTTCATGTTTATAATGAGCGTGGACATTAGAGGCTCTTATTTAGAACAATACCCAATGCCAGGAGATCTAAGAGGTCGTGTGTGTGTATGTGTGTGTGTGTGTGTGTGTTCTAAAATGTACACTGAATATAAGTCATGCACAGAAGAGTGTAAATAATTTACGCTTATGGTTTAAATGACATTAAGCCAAACACCAACGTACCCATTATCAGGTAGCATTAACAGTACCTTAGGGCCCCCATGAGCTCCTTCCTGCTCATACCCCTCCCCTCACCTCCAGAGTAGCCACTGTTTTGAGTTTGGGGTTAATCATTCCCTGTGTGTGTGTTTTTTTAAGAAGTAGTTTTACACTGTAGGTATGTATTACCTCTAAACAAATTGTTTAGGTTTGCCTTTTATACACTTTATTATATATTGGAACATATTATTTGTAATCCTCAGTTACTTTTATTTTTTGCCAAACATATGGCATATTCTTCATTTTCTGCTGTATAGTATTACACCGCATGAATATGCCACCATATATTTGTCCCTTCTCTTATTGGCCAACAATTGAGTTAGTTACTTTTTTGTTACCCTCTCACCCCCGAATGCTACAGTGAAGATGGGGCACAGCCTCACATGCACAAGTTCACCCACCCCAGCTGTGGAGCTGTGTGTCATAGGGAAGGGACATCACCGTTTTCTAAAGCGATTGTATCGATTTACTTTCTCATCAGCAGAAGTAGTCACTCCTGTAGCTCTCTGATCTTGCCATTGCTTGGTATTATCAGAGTTTTAAAATTTTGTCAATTTGGTGGGTTTGAAATAACATTTTCCTGTCATCATTCTCATTTCACTGATTATTAATGAGGCTCGGCATCTTTTCACTTGTTTATGAGTATATTCATTCTGCGAAATGTCTTTTCATATCTTTTGCCCATTTTTCTATGGAATTGCTTGTCTTTTTCTTATTAATTTGTAAGAGTCCTTTAAATTCTGGACATCTTTCATTTGTCCATTAGGTATAGAGCAAAATTCTCTTCCAGTTGGTGGTTTGTCTTTTCACTCTGTCTTTCAGTGAATGGAAATTATTATTTTATTATAGCCAGCTGTGTCAGTCTTTCCCTTTATCATTTCTCTTTTTAAGTCTTGTTTAAGAAATCCTTTCCTATCTTGAGGCATCTCTACTAAAAATAATAATAAGATCTATACAAAGGTGGCGCAATTTCTGAGATAAATTATTAAGTGGAAGCAAAGTGCAGAGTGGACCTTTTGCTTTATATGCATCATTTATGTACAAACCAGGGGCATGGATATGTACGTATATGTTTATATGTACAGAAAATATTTCTAGAAAGATACAAAAAAAACACTGATGACAGTGATTGTCTCTGGAGATGGGAACCAAGGCAGGAGGGTGGTGGGAAAGAGACTTCTCACTATTAACCCTTTTGTATTGTTTCAGTATTTTTCTTTGTTGTATATATTACCATTCAGAAACTAATTTGAAAAAATTTACACTTAAAAATTTTTTCAATTACAGTTGACATTTAATATTATTTTATATTAGTTTCGAGTGTAAAGTATAGTAGTTAGACATTTATATAATTTATGAAGTGATCTCCTTGATTAGTCTAGTACCCACCTGGCACTATACACAGTTAAAGAAAATATTTTTTAGTAAAGAAAAGTGTGCTCTATCTTGGATACTTCCAAGGAAGCTACATTGCCTTCCACCTTGCTCAGCCCTCCATTCGTGTGTGATTTGTTCCCACAGAAAGAGAAGCTGGACACCCAACTCCGGGAAAAAGAGTTTTATAGGCCCATCCGCGGCCCCAACCCCAAACTAGAGGATGGATACCCTGCCTTTAAAAGACCCTACATGACCACCAAAGACCTGGGACACCCGGGCTTCTTCCCACCACCGGAGCGTGTGACCACAGGGGAGGAGGAAGGCAGGCTCACCAGCATCTGCCCTTCCGTGTACCCAGTTTCTCATGACCAGTACCTGCCCCAGGGCGATCTGAACGGGGTCCACCAGAGTGCCGACTTTCCGTGCCTCTTGGAGCCGTTGCGCCAACCTGCTGCGGAGGCGGGCAAAGGCTACTTTCTACTGCCCGGCTGCGTCTGTCCGCATCACCATATGGCCAAGGTCCCCGTCTTGAACCGATGGGGGCCCCTGCTCCCATTTTACCAGTAGGAGGGGTGAGAACACCTTCCAAGGTCACTGTGGAAATTCCACCCTCTCACAAGGAAACCCTTGTTCTTGCCTTGGATTACAGAGAGAACTGAGAATAAAACCCTAGAAAGATGTTCCAGCAGCACTGGGACTGTAGTTGTTGTGCCTTACTCCCTGGTCTGCCCTGGTACACAGCATCCCCACCACAGGAGGGAGAGAGGGAAGAAAAGAAAAAAAACGGGTATGTCTGGAGGGCTAGAATTTGTGTGATGTTTTGTTATAATTAAGAGTCCTGCTGTAAAGGTTCTTGCTAGTTTAGGCATTTACTTACAAAATGGGAAAAACTACATTTCCCATAGTCATCTGAATGTTTGATGAGACTGTAAAACTTGAAATGCTGTTGGATAACTTTTCACCTCAATATTCGCATTTCAGTTTGTTTACCTCTCCCACCCTTGTAGCAATCAACCATTTAGCATTTAGAAGCCATCATTGTATACTTTTCTTCTTGCATCATGTCGCTTTGTAAACATACATGGACAAGTCAGTTAAATAGTCTAAGCTTCTGTGACAAAGAGAACCAAATATAGTGACTTGAAAAACATAAGGTGGGCAGTCAAAGAGGGTGGAGCATCTTTGCTATGGTTTCAATCTCTGAGTCTAAGGTGGCCGCTATAGACTAAATCGTGTCCCCCCAAATTCATATGTTGAAACCCTAACCTCCAATGTGACTGTATTTGGGGATAGGGCCTTTAGGGCTAATTAAGGTTAAATGAGGTCATAAGGGTGGGGCCCTAATCCAATAGGATTGGTGGCCTTCTAAAAAGAGGGAATTTACTTTAAAATGCTCCAGCAAAATAAACTGTTAGTAGAATAGGGGAATAGGTGAAACAATACCAGTGACAAAATAAAAGTTGTAGCTGGGTGATGGGTATGTAGAAGTTCATTATCCTATTCTGTACTTTTGTGTGTTTGAAAATCTCCATAATGAAACATTAAAACAGGAAAGGAGGGGAGGGGATGAAAAAAAGGAAAGGAAAGGAAGGAAAATTAAAGATGTAGTCCTTCAGACTACCAGTAGCTGTTTATAAGTATGTCAAATTTATAATAATATCCTTGTCATCCTTGCTATGCTCGCCAAGAAAAAGAAAGAAAGAAAAGGAGAGGAAGAGGATGGGGAAGGGGAAAGGGATGGGGAAGAACGAAAGGAAGGAGAGGAAGGAAAGGAAGGAAGGAAGGAAAGAAGGAAGAAAGAAGAAAAAGTGATGGAGGAAGAGAGGGAAAGAAAGAAAAGTCTGTAGGTTTGATAGAATAGTCTTTCTGAACCCTGGTGAGGTTGAGTAATTTTGTAAATGATCCATATCTCTTCATGAGTTATGAAATGTTTCCTTACCAGTGTGCTCCTTCTCCCTTACTTTTTACAATCTTTAGTGAGTCTGTTTTATCCATAATTCCTCTAGGGTGTCTATGAACAAAAGTTCACTACCTCTCAATGCTGGTTAATAACATTTTTTTTTAGTGTTGGGTCATGTAGATCAGTTGAGTTTTAACACATAGTTATTTCCACCAAATGATTTAGTTGAAGTAAACACATTAATAACAAAAGCTACTCTTTTTTGCTCATTTGGTTTTATTGCTACATCTCCAAAGAACAATAGATACTCTTTATTGGTCACTTATTATGCACCAGGCTCCATGTTGCACACATCACAAGCATTATTTTATCTTCGCATACAATTGAAGAAACAGAAGTCAAAGGAGAATTTGAATTCCAGATTTATCTGATTTCAACCCCAAGGTGTCAGTCATTTTTGGAATGTTTTATGTCATTTTTCTTCTAAATAAATGATGAGAACCCTTTAATGCAATAGTTGTCTTGCTCCTTAAGGTTCAAGTTTCATTGGTTAACCATCCATTGGTGTGAACAATGACCTGAACCAAGAAGATGGGCCAGATTCAGAGCTCTCCTTCAGGTATTCAGGAGGTTATGACCTTCCTTCATAACGGACTTACAAGGGGTGTGACTGGCTGTGCTTAAGATGTAAAATAGATCACCGAAATGTGCCTGGACATTACCAGAGGAGTGGACAGAGCAAGAAGGCTAGCTGTCACCTGGGTTTTTGGTTTTTGGATCCGGAGAGGACAGCAGTAAGTAGGGGAGCCCAGGGAGAAATCCATTCAAGAGGGGAGGATGAGTTGAAACCCCGACAGGGGTTTAAGGCTGCATTTAAGGCACTTTCCGCACCTTCCCATAGAGACACCTGGAGGCTGACAAATTGGGCTGTCAATTTGTCTGGTCAAGAATCACTGAAATTCCAAGATTCTGTCTCAGTCCCAAGATTCTGTCTCAGAAATCTCTGTCTGACTTGACTCTCCATCCAGGCTCACTGCAATAGGCTTCTTCTGTTGGCACCCAGGAGTGCCCCCTACTGTTCCTCCCCATGTTACCCCGGGAGAATTGGCACACATAGAAGATGATTATTTCTCATCTTCCAGCATAACTGCGCCCCTGGGGCCCTTCATCTGTGGCACCAACCCTTCCAGTCTCACTCCCCTGCCTCCCTTCATGCACACTCAGCATTTCCCACCTCAGTACCTTTACACTTGCTATTTCTGTCTGCTAGAAAGCTCCTTGTTCTGCTTTACCCCAACTGAATCATTGCCTCTTTGGAAAAGCCTGTCTTGACAATCTCCTGTCCCTAACAGTTTGCTATTCCTGTGCGTTCCCAAATCTCTTCATTCCTACGTCTCTTAGAGGGGTGCTGTGAGGATTACATGAGTGAACACTTAGAGCTTGGCAAATAGGGCTCAAAATTTATAAATCTTTTTAATTTTTATTTTTATTATCTTTAGAATTATTACTGTTTGTTTATCTCGGAGAGTGTTCTGTTTATCTTCACTGCTCCTGGAACTTGGCATATAGCAGGTGTTCAAAAAAATATCAAAGGAATGAATGGGGATGAAAGGGAGAAACGGCTTTCCAAGGGGAGGCACAGGAAGGAGGTGACCCCTGTGGCCTGACCTCCACACATTTTCTTAGCAGCTCTCCAGGCTCTGCCTCCAACAGCTTCAAGCTCCCACCAGGGTTGTATATCCACCTTCGGCCAGGGAAGCCCTCAGTGCCTGGCAATGTCAGGTGAAGGTATCTGGGCAGGCATCCTCGAGAATGACCCACAACTTTGCCCACTGAACGATACTCTCTACCAATTGGAGTCATCTTTGGGAAGACAGCAGGACAATGGGAACTACAAATTGGGTTTGGGCCACCCCTCCCCCAATGCCTTCCTAGTTCCAACTCTGGCCTGGTCTAATAACTGTGTTTAATTGATAGACCCAGGAGAAGCTTGCCTTTGTCAACAGACATTTTAATATTCTCAAAAGAAGACTCTTAGCTCCTTGACCAATTTATTCCTGGGGAAGAACATGGCTGGATACTGGGAGCCACCCCCATTGTCTTTTATAGAGACCCCTGAGGTCCCTCAACATAAGGGTGAGAGCATGGAATTTGGAGCAGGCACTGTGGAGGTGGACCCCCCCACCAGCATGTACCAGTTCCGGTGTTAAGCACAGCACATTTATTATCATACTAAATTCTCATTATAACTATTGAGCTAATACAGCTGTCACTCTCATTTTATAGCTGAGGAAACCGAGGGCTCAGGTGATATGGCCAAATGTCACAGGATTTGAAATCTGACTTCTTCCTTTCATGAAATCTGAGTTCCATAAAAACCTTCAGTTTTCTCATCTGTGAAAAGAGGATAATTACACCCATCTCATAAGGTACAAATAAGAATGCATTTAAAAAAATTTTTAAGGTTAATAAAGTGTTCTTTTCAATTATTAACATAAAAGAGAACGAACTGTCACGTGTTTTGCTGCACTTGCTTGTAAATTTGCCACTGCCAGCAGTGTTCCCCTGCCCATTGAAAGGATGCTTTTGTCATTCTTTGGCCTGGGGAGGGATCTGGTGATGAGGCTGCAGAAACCGGACTGGGAGGCTCCAAGATAATGCTAGCGGCCCTTACATGTGTATATTCTTCAGAGTTTACAAAACACAGCCCCAGATGGTATCTCCCTTAATTCTCATTTAACCTCTGTGACATAGGAATTCTTACCCCCATTTCACAGAGGGGATAAGTAACTAAAGCTGAGTGAGGATGCAAGACTCCAGGCTTGTCCTGCCCTATGCCCTCTCCTGGATCAGG